ACGCCGAGAAGGACGCTAGAGTCAAAATGTTGGAACAACAATTGGCTGAAGCTCACGAAAGGTTAATCAAGAGGAATTAAGCATTCGTTCTTTTTATTCTTTTGGTCGTTTCATTGGCTTGTCATTTGTGTTTCTTTTCATCATTCTGATGATTGAAATCTTTCCCTTTTTATTTTTTCTTAAAAATTTTTTTTTTTATTTTTTTACCACATTTTCATTTTTATCAACTTTATTTTTTTCCTTTATATCTTTCATTCTCTCTTTTTCTTTTCTTTTCTTTGCCAATTTTAATAACAACTACAGAGAAAATTTAACCTACAAGTTTGAAAAATATTTTTGTTGCACTTATTCAAAATTTTTTTTTGTCTATACGAATGGGTTTTTAACCTCTGAAATCCAAACTACATTTAAAAGTTTTTTTGTAAATAAAATCGTATCAATATTCTGATATAAAAAAAAAAAAGTTTCCTAGTGTTTATTATGTGTATTGACGGAAAATTTTTTTTTTTTTTTAGTTTCCATCATTTGTTTAAACTCATGAAAATTAATTAATACATTCTTTTAATAAATGCGATTCTTAACTTTTTTGTCTTTGCATTCTCGTTTCAAGCTAGACAACGCAATTTTCTCAATAAATCTAATTCTAACGACATGTTCGGTATGGACATTAACATAAAAAAAAAAAACATCACAATGAAAAATGACCTCAGTTTAGATTTTTTTTTTTTTTTATTTATAGAATTCAAAAATACATATATATACAATATTATTTAAAAAGGATAATATACAATAATAACGAAAAAATAATTGCAAATGAATAATAATACTTATTATTAGAACTTTTGACCAGTTGAATCTCGATAACTTTTTGAGAATCAATATATTTAATCAAATCCGAACATATATTTGTTTTATCCGTTAGGATGACATTATATCCAGATGTTTCAGCTCTTTCTTCTGACCTTGTGGTAAATTTATTTTTAGAAGGAGCAACTATAACACCAATAGTATCTTTATGGTATCTAGTTAATACACCTTCTAATTCACGTACGATTTTTACTCCTATATTTTGATAACAGTTAATTCATAAATCATAAATCATCTGATTGTATCAATCACAACTTTAAAATACCATTACCGATTTTCTGTTTATGAGCCTTGCATTGAATCACGATGGTATTTCCTCCAAGTCCCCCAAATATGTCGATACCACCGTCCCCTGGTTTATTTCTTGAGAAAGAAAAAAATAATAATAATAATTGAGTGTTTGCATCATAATCATCAAAGGATTAAGAAGAACGTTCACAGCGTAAAACTGTGGCCACGGTGCGCTTTCAATTCTTAATTCATGTATCCTATTCATCACAGGTTCCGGAACTACATCCTACTATTAGCCTTTCGGAAACGGAGAAGAACGTTCACAATTAAAAAATTGTGGCCACGAAGAGCTTTCAATTCTCCGGTTTACTCCTAGTGACAGCGTAACTTCAGATACATGACGATTCAACAAGTACTCAGTGAATACTACTCACTTTACTCCATAAAATTCCATTCCGTTCTCCTCAAGTACTTTTAAGATTTCGTTTTCAAAATTTTTTCCCTTGGCTACAGTCGTGGTAGTTGTGGTTTTGGCTTTGGTTGTGGTCATGGTTGTGGTCATGGTTGTCTTGGTTGTCATGGTAATAGGCGAGTTTTATATATTTTTAATAGAAACTTATTATATTCTTTTTTTGAGAGAAAAACTTCTTATTAAGGTTATGAATTACAGGTAATAACCTTTTTTTTTCCCTCCTTTTTTAACGATATTTTTGATTATAATCAAGGAGTTGCATTTCCGGATATTGCAATGGGACAAAGAAGATACGGAAAAAGTTATTAAAATGATTAATGTAAAACGAAATCAATAATAAAGTGATGAATAACAAAATTTGAATATACTGCCCCTTTTTTTTAAAACGGTTTTCGCATTTTCATTTTCAAAGAAATATATTTGGAAAAAGAGGAAACGAATGTAAAAAAAAAATTTTTTTCTGCGGGGGGACAAGGGGGAAAAAAAATTGCATCGGATTTGGTTAAGATTGTAGTACATGTCGATCGAACAATTACACAAGCTAATTTTTGATATTTTCAAATTGATCTTCCAGATAGATCATGATTGAACTTAAATTCCAACTAGAATCTAATGATGCTATGGTTATGCATTACAGTTATTATTATTATAGCCCTTTTTACAGAATATCTAATCTACTAATTACTGGTTTACTTCTTTACTTATATAAGAACCTTTGAATTTGAAGACGTAAAACAGTATCTATTACAAATCTATTAGAAAAAGCCAAGTTTCTGTCAATCTCTAGCTTTATTGCATTTATATATTCTTTAAATCCAGTATTTAAGTATAATTAATGTTGATTAACAGATTATCAACTTATTAAAAAAATCTTTTTCTTTCATAAATTTTACTTAAAATTCAACTTAAATCAAATGGAATTTTTTTATTATTATTATTAAAAGAGATAGTATTTACAAAATATAACTAACAAATATAATATTTTAGATTATTTTATGCTACTTATTTATAAATAATTTTTGTAAAACATTTAAATCATAATAGTTTTATTCTAAGAACTAATTATCAGAATTATTTATTTTGGTAAAATTATGCTAATAATTTCATAATTTATCTTTCTTTTATATCTATGATATGATATAAAAGCTGAAATATAATTAAAAATTTTTAATAATTAATACAATATATAAAATAAGAATTAAAATTATATAAATATCTTTTTCTTCAAAATATTCATATATTTTTATCTATTATTAATCTCTTAAAAAAATTTTAATTTATTTATAATCAGTATTTTATTTTATATAAACTAACTTTGCTTAATCTAGGTAAAAGATAAAAAATCAGTAAATTTTCATATTTAAATTAAATATAAGCATTTTGCAATAGAAAGAGTAGATTTTACTAAAAAAATTTTTTTTTACTTTATAAGTTAATAAAATAAATTCAGGTTCAACATTAATTTAAAAAAATATTTATTAGTAATTTCTACCTTTTTTATTACAAAATAATCATATTACAAAGCAAATTACATATAAAAAATTTGTTAAGTAATCAGACTTTAAAATTTTTTTTGACTAAAATTAAGACCTTATTATATTTTAATCTAATAACATCAAAAATAAAAATGTAATAAAAATAAAATTTTGTTAAAAAATTCTTAGAACTTGATTTTCCTAACAAATTTTTCATATAACTGATATATATTATTCTAATACTATTAATAGTATTATTATATAGCTAAAATCAATTGAGTTTTAATATTAATATCCCTTAAACTATAGAGGTTTGTAGGCAAATTTACCTGTTTATTTACTATAAATTCCTTTCTGATTTACTTTTTGAAAAATTAAAATTTTTAAAAAATTATTATAATAAAATTTTCAAAACTTAATTTTAAAAATTAAATTATTTAAAAAACTTCTTAATAAACTTAAATTTCTTCTAATAAAGTTGATAAAATATATATTAAACTATATTTTT